TAATATAATATAATATAATATAATACCGGACCGGACTAGAATAGACTGGACTGGACTGGATTAGACTGGACTGGACTGGAATAAATTGGACTGATGGACTCTGGTTTGGTTTCCTAAAAGAACTTCTGAATCATCATCATCATCATCATCATCACCATCATCATCATCATCATCATCATCATCAACTTGGTCGCTGACATAAACATCGTTTGTGATCAAATCGTGATTTATTTGTTGATCGACTTTGATTGGTGTAACAACAACAATAACGAGGGCTACAGGGAATGTGAGTCACACACACACACACGCAGTGGTGCTGTATACGTGAACATCCAAACAAAGCCCTCCGTACACACACACACACACACACACACTGAACACAGCAGGTCCCTCAAGGACATATTAAACATTTCCTTTCTAGGTTTCCAAGGCAACGTGAAGATGAACTTCCACTCGCCTCGTTCCAGAGCGTCATGGCCGACACTCAGCAGATCCAAAAGACAAGTCCCCGTGTATGTGCGTGTACTCGCTGTATTTGTCAGCTGGAAACATCTGGAAACGTTACCATCGCTCTCCGGACCAGGACCCAAACCCTGGTCCTGATGAAGACCGACTCGGTCTCTGAGCCTGAGCACCAGTAAAGACCTGAGCTGTGGTGGTTAGAGTTCTAATTACGTGAATGTGTGTGTGTGTGTGTGTTTCGTGGGTCGACAAGGTAACGGGGAAGAAGAAGAAGAAGAAGAAGAAGAGTAAAAATAGACGAATCAAAGACTGGAGTCAGAGCAGAGAGAAACGCCGCCGTTCTTATGGTCTACGTTTTTTTTTTTTCTCCAACGTCTTCAACGACATTTCTTACAGTTGTGGTCACTGTGGTCACTGTGGTCACTGCGGTCACTGTGGTCACTGCGGTCACTGTGGTCACTGTGGTCACACTCTGTTCAGCCCTGGACTGACAGACAGTCCAAACAAATACAACCTCTATAATAATCATGTTTTTTTGTTTTGTTTTTGTTTTTTGTTTTGTTTTTTTTGTTTGTTTGTTTTTTATTACAGAAACTGTTCTAAGACGTTTTTAGGCAGATGACACCCTTCTGTTGGAACACTGCCACCTTCTGTCAGACCAAGTCAGTACTCGATACTCGGTATTGGTGAGTACTCAAGGGTGAGTACTCTCTGATACCAAGTACAAATACTTTTATAGATATATAAAGATGACTTTTAATTTATAAAAAAAACCTCAACTATATAAAGGAACTAAAACCCAAAATAAAAGAAAAAATTAGTTTGAAATAAATTAGTTTTCACTCCCCGTCAATGAGTAACGATTCTCTGAAATAAGGCCAGTATCGGACCTGGTACCGATACCTGGTACCGATACCTGGTACCGATACCTGGTACTGATCCCTAGTCTTTTCATCTCGACTTCATTTTCATCCACCAATGCAGCCTCTGTCATTACGGTCTGTCTGCAGAGCTGACGAGCTATGACCTCACTTCCTTCTCTCCTCCTCGTCGCCTTGCTGTGTCGCTCGTGACCCCAGAACATGAATGACACAAGTCCTGACCGCCCTGTGATGTCACAAACTTCAATTTTCATCTTGCTTTCATCTTTTCTTTGATCTTTTTCCGCTCCGACTCTTCACACACTCTCACTCCGGACGAACATTCACTCCGGAGGTAAAAACACCAGACGGGGAACTCGACTGTTCGGGCAAAATGAAACTCCGTCCGTTTTTCAAGGCAGACAAGAAGGAAGCAAAGGTCAAGAAAGACCCGTGTGTGAATGAGACGTCCAGACGGGCGCTACTGTTCCTGGCCAAGGGCGTCTACCACGTCTTCCAGAGGGCCGGTGCTTTCAAGGGCCTCTGCGACGAGGACAAGGCCTTTCACATCTCACGTCTGGTGAGTCAAACCAGGAGGGGACTCACCGTGGTCAAAGGTCACGCCCCGCAGGTCGGCAAGGCCAAGCAGCTGGCCAAAGCCGTGCTGAAGGAGCTGCAGCAGGAGTACGGCGCCGGGCTGAAGCACCACCTGCTGGACACCTCGGCGGAGAAGCAGGCCGTGGTCGTGTTCTGCCTGCGCAGACACGCCAGGAGGATGTTTGCCGAGAGTTGTCCCCGCGTGTCCAAGGACGACCTGCTGGCCATGTTCATCGAGCTCATGCTCATCCCCGTGGGCGTGGTGGCCGCCTTCGCCCTGCTCATGTTCACAGTGCCGTAGGCCTCGACGGCTTGAACCGTGTCGGAATCGCGACGACCGATTTGATTCGGCTGAGTTTGTCACATGGTACAATCTGCACAGGCTTCCACCATCACCACGACGACCACGACCACCACGACGACCACGACGACGACGACCACGACCACGACGACCACGACGACTACGACTTCCTCTGTTCTTAGAAGAGCGGGTCGAAAAATACCCGTAGGCCTCGACGGCTTGAACCGTGTCGGAATCGCGACGACCGATTTGATTCGGCTGAGTTTGTCACATGGTACAATCTGCACAGGCTTCCACCATCACCACGACGACCACGACCACGATGACGACGACGACGACGACGACCACGACGACGACGACTTCCTCTGATCTTAGAAGAGCGGGTCGAAAAATATCGTTTCCAGTTTCTGAATTACGATCTCGTGTCAGAAAAAACACGTTGTTGTTGTTGTTAAGCTAACACCCCCTCCCCCCCCCCCCGCAACTGTTAGTTGGTGAGCAGAGAACACGGATGCTGCCCCCTGCCTGCTTGTGATGAAATAGTCTCTAGAACCACGGTCCGACCTGAACACCTGAGTCTGGACCCTGGAGCTGATCATGTAGGATATACGTGTCAAACTCAAGGCCCGGGGGCCAAATGCGGCCCGCCAAGCCGTTCTGCGTGGCCGGCGGGAGCTTCAACAGCATTTAGTAAAAGTCCATGCAGCAGAGGTTCTTCACCTGGGAAACTAAACGTTTTTATAATCGATCAAATAATAATCGTTACATTTTCAGTTAGTACCAGAGTATTTTTCAAATTAGATGATCTTCAAATAAAGAAAGTAAATGGATTTGACTGGACTTTCTTTGAATGAACAAATTTAGTAAAAAAATTATTTTATTGTGTCCCACTGCGGCCCGCTACCAAATGACCGATGGACTGGTACTGGTTTGCGGACCAGGGGTTGGGACACCCCTGATCTACATGGTCTTCCAGTTACAACTGTGGCCCCCTGGTGGTGGAAATGAGTTTGACACTTTAGTGAACGATGACGGATGTTATATATTTATATATATTTACATACATATATATATATATATATTTGTCGTTATGACGTGTCAACAGTGACACCTGCTGTAATCTGCAGTACTGCACTTACTGCACAAATTCCAGCAGCTGAAACTGAAAATCAGAGTCGAAAAGTTCTCAGACAACGGTTCTCAGTTCTGGAACTGAAAGACAAACAACATCTGTGTGTTTCCACTGATGTTTTGATTTATTTTATTTATTTATTTTTATGTGGAAAAATGTCAAGACAAATATTCAAAACTGAAGAAGTATCTGGACAGAGTCGGCGTTCATGTCGTAGAGCGTTGTCAGGTCG